CCCGCCATGCCGAGGAAGTCGACGACGAAGTACGTGGCACTCGGACGAGTGACGGATGGCTCATGCGTTGGCTAGGTGTTTTACTCGGACCGATCGCTGGTGTTTGATGAAGCGGAGAATCGCATGTGGACCGTCATGGCAGTCCTGGCCAACATCGTCAAGTAGCACGTCAAAAACTTCCAAACGACAAATTGCACTTTAGCTTGTTTGTAGTTGTTGCAACGTGAGCCATATTATAACAGTAATATTATAATAACCAACGCATAGTACTACCGTATTTAGGTCCATAGTTACATAATAGCGACATCATCAATTTTCAATGTAACTTGTACTGGTACTGTACCAGTACTTCATTGAAAATTTATAATTCCAGTAACAAATTATAACATTTCAGATTTAACCTTTTCTCAGGTACTGCAGTAACTTGCAAAAGGGCAACGTTTTGATGGTGTGTAGAGATTGCCAGACCAAAGCATGCCACTTGTGTCGACGGTGCATCACAGCGCACTGCACGTGCGGCCCTGTACTAGACAGTCCCATATGCCTAGAATCCACAGCATGTGACTGCATCACGTTGTCTCGCTGTGCACGCTGCAGGGGCTGCCTCCCCGGCAAACATAGGCCGCCCATCAGCCATTGCAATTGCGCGCAGCATGTCCTTGGCAACTGCTTGTGTGACTCTATCCAGGCACCGGACAACGACGCGCACGATAAATCGATGCAGAAACGCAGGGTTCGGCGGCGATACAGCCTTCCGAGTGTCGAGAATCTGTACGATTCCCGCTTCGCCAAGCAAGACCTGTTCGAGTCGTCGGCGCTATACGACCTCATGCGCCAGAAATCGTACCTGTTCCATGCCCACGCAGACAAAGACGGCCGCCGCGGCGTGCACACGACGTCGTACTTGGCCTCCCTCGAACGAGAGCGCTCCCTCGCCACCGAGAAGAAAGCGCTGCGCGCGAACGCGGACGCGTACTTCGATCGCGCCATCGACAACGCCACGTACGCAAGTGACGTGGCGTCCCAAATGCCGTCCGACGGAGTCGTCGACTACCTCGTGTACACGAGCAGTTTGAAGACGACCCACGTCCCGGAACTGCTTGGCACGATGGACAGTTCCGCCGCTGTGGCCGCCGCCATCGTCGTCGAAGAGTACATCCGCCAAGAAATGCAAGCGTTTGTGGCCCAACAAGAACGTACGTATGCGACAGGTGAAGCAAGATATCTCTTGTGTTAAAACAACTATTGTAGACTTGTCCGTGGGAAGCGAAGCCGACCTGGTGCGGCACATCCAGGAGCTGATCAATGGAGCTGAGCCAAAGCCATGGCTGGCCGACGCGGTGTCGCAGGAGCTGCACAGAGTGTTCGGAACGAATAATTTGGCCCCGTACGATGTGGCCATGCTGATCCACGACGAACTCGAGTGTGCATCCAGGGACAATGCAACATTGTATGACGACGCCACAGACGCGTGGAAGGCGGATCGGATTGCCAAGGGCGTGCACGAGCTGGCCCAAGGCGCGGTGCACAGCCAAGACGGCATTTATGTGACATTGGTCAAGGGTAGGCCGTCGTACTGGTTTTCCGCGGCCATTCCGGATCACGGCGTCGTGACCTCGGAAGGGTATGCGTCGTACTCGGAAGCGTGGAGCACCAAGGTCGAGTTGGAGGCTCGTGTCGATGCCTACCTCCCGTCCATTCCAGAGCCAACTGTCCTTGAAAACGAAGTCGAAATGGATCGAGTTCCAGACAAGGTGGTCGCAGTGCACCACATTCAAGGCTTGGTGGTGCCGCAGAAGACATACTTTCCACATGACAAACACATGCATCGCGTGCTACAGCGCATTGCCCTGCCAGTCCCCGAGACCGCAGCGACCCTTGCCGAACGCAGTAAAAAGAGGTTGTGGCGAAAGGTGCAACAGGCCCAGCTAGAACAAGCGCGCCAGAAGCGGCAAAAGCAGCAGGAGACAGAGACGATGGAGCAGTGGCTGAGACGGTGCGTGGCCGAAGGGCGGTGTCCGCACTGCAGCGGACCCAAGGACCACATCGCAGACGACGACTCGTCGTGCCTGTTTTGGAGGCATTTCCAAGCCAAGCTAACAGACGATGCCGAGCGGCACCGAAGCTTTGAAGACGTGGCCATGGAATGGTTTGACGAGAGGCAGCATGAATCCTTCGACGTGTGAGTCGCATGTAGTCGTAGTAGGATCATCATGTGATAACGAGTACTATGTGGTGGTGGTGAACTTCCCAAGGATGATGATCTTGCCTTGCGCGATCAAGACGGTAGCGACATAGTCTACCCCTGGTAATGCATGGAAGGGATAGGCGTTGTCGTAATGTAGCGTCGGAGGTAATGATTAGGACATCTTACAAGTGACCCCCTCGCTTTTGCTTCTTCAAGCAGTAGTTGACGATCGACGCCATACGTTTGTTCAAGTCTCGGATCTCCGACTCGGCGTTCTTGCGGATGCGGCGCTGCCACTTCTTCTCGTGCGCGAATCGTTGGTCCAGTTGCGTCATGACACCGTCGTCTTGCATGGTGCGGTTGATAGTCTTCACAATCTTCTCGGGGTCTTGGTTGAACCCGACTTGATACCATAGCGAGCGAGTGTGCGCAGGCTGCTTGGCCGCGACGGGCGCGGCGCGGCGAAGGAACGTCTGCAGCATGGCCACCAATGAAATGCCCAACGAACACCGTGCATTATCCGGATAAGATCGCCACGTGTCCGGATAATATTAACCTTCCGGACACCCCAACAGTCGCGTCGTTTCAGCGAAAAGCGGAACAGTTTTAAGTTGTCCTTGACAGAACGAAGGCGAGGCGCGAGGCATCATGGGAGATGCTGCCGGCGAAGCCTCAGGGAACAACAAGAAGGAGATCCAGCCTGCCAAGTTCATTGAGCTGCGCGTGGCGACCGCGTTCGGCGGCGGCCCCAAGTTCCTGGCCAAGTATGAGACCGAGCCCAACGAGTACGTGTATCTGCTGTGTTGCGTACGCAAGTTGACGATGGTTGTAGAATTTGCGTCAAGGAGTTCATTGAGAATGAAGATCTGACGTGTCTGATGTTTTCTGGAGACAACGTGATCGCGTCGACAAAGATGCCGGGGTCGCTCCAGCGTGGCAAGACCATCGCTTTCCACAAGATGCACAAGTGTGTGCTCACGCCAAAGAACATCCTGAGCGACGTGCTTGTGAGTGAGCTGGGCACGAGCACGTTGGAACATCTCGAGAAACTCGTGTCGGAGATCTACCTACCCATCTTTTCAAACCCGACCAACCAGGACGGATGGGGCGAAGTCGCGTCCAAAGAGGTGGTGGACAAGTTCCACTCGTACATGGCCACCGTGTCCATCATCACGGGCGCCATCAAGGGCGAGACGTGCCTGCCCCTGCCGCCCGTGGACGGCAACTCGGCCAACCTCAAGAACAAAATCTCGCTCCTGGAAGGGTCCATTGTCACGTGGACCAAACAGATCAAAAACGTACTCAAGCAAGACCCGGAAGAGCTGCTGAAACAAGGTTTGAACCCGACGCCGGACGCAGAAATCGAGTTCTGGAAACTTAAGGCGGCCAACTTGAACTCTATTTTTGGCCAACTCCAAAGCAAACGAGTGCGGAAGATTCTCACAGCGCTCGACCGCAGCAAGAGCACGTACTGTACGACGTTTGCGCGGCTGTGCAAGGAAGTGTTTACGGCGCGCATTGAAGCCAACGACAACACCAAGTACCTGCGCACGCTAGAGGAATGGTTCCACCGCCTCAACAGCGATGAGGACTTCCCCAACTTGACCGAAGTGTTTAAGCCCATGCTGCACATCATTTTGCTGATTTGGAAAAACTCCAAGCACTACAACACCCCCGCTCGACTGGTGGTGCTCATTCGAGAGATCTGCAACTCGCTCATTAACCAAGCGAGGCGGTACCTTAGTGGCGAAATGATCTTTGGGCTGATTGACCAGGACGAGGCCGGCCAGGCGGTCGAGCAGCTCAAAACCACTCTACAAGTATGTTCAACGTTCAAGAGCATCTACTTTGACTACAAGGCGACTGCAAACGCCGAATGCCCCAGCAATCCGTGGCGCATCCAGAACAACGCGCTGTTTGTGCGGCTGGACTCGTTCCTGGAACGATGCCACGACATTCTCGACCTGACGCAGACGATTGTCCAGTTCAGCAAACTGAGCAAGATGGAGGTGGGCGGCACAAAAGGCAAGACGCTCACCATGAGCGTACAGCAGATCCACCACGACTTTACGGACGCCGTAAACACGTTCAAGAAGGTCTCGAACGATATCATGGACGTCGGCGCGACCAAGTTTGACGACAATTTCTACGAATTCCGATGCAAGATCAAAGAACTTGAGCGCCGCCTCGGGTCAGTGTTGACGCAGGGGTTCGACGACTGCTCGACCGTGTTTGGGCGGTTCAAACTGCTGGATTCGTTTGAGGGGCTACTCAACCGCCCGATCATCCAGGACGAACTGGAGAAGAAGCACGTGGCACTAGTCCAGGCGTACGGCCAAGACCTCAAGCACGTGCAGGAGCTGTTTTTGCATAGCCGCGACTCGCCGCCCATTTCGTGGAACCTGCCGCCGATCTCTGGGGCGCTGACGTGGTGTCGTGGGTTGATTGAGCGCATTGAGCACCCTATGAAGAAGCTCAAGGAGCTCAACCACAACGTGATGGAGCGGGAAGAGGCCAAAGAGGTGTATAAAGTGTACGGCACCGTGTTGGCCTCGCTCCAAGAGTACGAAAACCAAAAGGTCGAGGAGTGGAGTCGCGACGTCGAAGCCAGCTCCCAGGCCAAGCTCAAACTGCCGCTCATCGTGAGAAATCCACACACCCGCGTGCTCAAAGTGAACTTTGACCCAGCGCTGGAAAAGTTGCTGCGGGAGGTCCGGTACCTCAAGTGTCTGGGGCTGGACGTGCCGCAGTCTGCGCTGCAGATCTTCCAAAAGGAGGAGACGTTCCGCAAGTACAAGGGCGACCTCATGTACATTGTAGAGCCGTACAACTTGATGATCGAGGGGTTGCATCCAGTCGAAGAGCCACTCGTGCGCAAACACATTAACAACATCGACGCCAGCGTCGGCCGGGGCATCGAAGAGCTCAACTGGAAGAGCAACGGCGTCGAAACATTCATTGAAGACTGCCGCAAGTGCGTGGAAAGCGCCAACGAAGTGGTGACCAACCTCAAGGAGAACCTTACGACCATTGAAACGACGCTCACGACGTGGAACCAGCCGCTGCTGGAGCGCCAAGCCAAGCCGATTGCCGCCAACGAACACGAGCGACTGCACAAGAGCTCCATCGCCCAACGCACGCTCAAGATCCGCGAAGGCGCGGCGGAGATCCACAAGCGTCTCAAGCAGTCCAACGCGGGCATCGCTGGCGTCAATTCGGCGCAGTGGAAAGCATATGTCGACTACGTCAACAACATCGTCGTGGGCGGGGTGGCCCGGGTCATTTGCTCTAGCCTCGAGTTTTTGTCCAAGCAGCTCGAGCCAAACCAGACGCCGGTGGTCGCCCCCGTTCCAGCAAGCAAGGATGACAAGGAGTCGAAGAAGGATACCAAGGAGGCGGGGGCCGCGGCGCGCCTGCCCATGCTCGAGATCAAACTGGATTTAATCTCGAACCGCGTGCAGTTTAACCCGTGCCTCACCGAAAACAACGGCAAGGGGTTGCGAGATACGATTCAGATGTGGATCAACTCGTTCTTCAACGTCGCGACCGCCGTCAAGCGCCTCGACTCGGATGGCGGCGGCACGTACCTCAAGGAAATGCACAGCGACATGAACATCTGCATGCAGCTGGCCACCATCTCCGAGTACTTGCAAGAGAACGAAGACCAGCTGAACGCGTTCAAGAAAAAGTACGACAACTATGCGTATCTGTGGGAGGCCAACATGGACGACGTGTTTGCTGCGTTCCTCCAAGGCGCCCAATACATTAGCAGCTTTGGGGCGACGATGCTCAACCTGACCAAATTCAACGAAGAAATCACCAAGTACTCGCGCGTGTCGAACGAGATTGCCAACTTGACGACGCCGTCCGATGTGGGCTGGCTCCGCGTGAATTCGCAGCCCATCAAGACAGCCATGGTGTCCTGGGTGAGCAAGTGGGTGTACCAGTACACGACCTACTTGTACCAGCACGTCGTGACCAAGCTCAGCTCCCTGCACAAGTTTATGGAGGTGGTGCTCAAGGGGCTGGAAGAGGAGGTCGTGGAGAAGAACAAGGAGGCGCTGATGCGCGTGATGACCCACATTCGCGACGTGCGCAAGCAGATCGACGCGACCAACGAGATGTTCGACCCCCTTCGCCAGGCCGTGCACCTGCTCAAGACCCACGGTGTGAACGTGGACGAGTTCAAGATTGCCGACCAGACGATTCAAGATTACTTGGAGGCGGCGCCTCTGCAGTGGGAAGGGATTGTGAACAAAACTTTCAAGAAGAAGGAAGAGATCATGCCGCTACAAATGGCCGAAGTCGAGTCCATCAAGGGCGACTTGGAGGCGTTCTACCTAGACATGCGCAAGTTTCGCAACGAGTTTCGGACGAACGCGCCGTTCACGTTTTCTGGCACCCCCGATGAAGCGTACAAGAAGGTCGACGACTACGCGGTGCGCCTCGCCGAAAAGGTCAAGCAAGCCAAGCAGTTCAACGAGCTCGAGGAACTGTTTGAGCTCCAAGTGAGCAAGTACCAGGAGACCACCGACACCCAGTACGAACTGCAGCAGCTCAAGAAAGTGTGGGATCTCAAGGACTTTGCCCTAAACACGTTCAACGACTGGAAGAAAAGTCTATGGGTCAAGATCGACACGGAGAGCATGGAAGCGTTTACGAGGAACTTTATGAAGCAAATGAAGATGGAAAGCAACGAGAACCAGATCATCAAGCAGTGGCAGACGTACAAGGACACGGAGCAGATGGCCAAGAACATGTCGACCATCCTCCCGCTGATCAATGACCTGCACTCGGAGGCGATGCAGGACCGCCACTGGAAGGCGCTGTCTGCCCTGTGCAAAGTCAAAGCCATCGACCCGAAAGACCCCAAGTTTAGCTTTGCGGACCTGCTTAAGCTGGAATTGCACTTGCACGTGGACGACGTAGGTGAGATCGTCGAGACGGCCAACAAGGAGCAAAAGATCGAGAAGAAACTCACCATGATCGAAGAGCTGTGGCGGGGGCTCACATTGGATTACGTCCCACACAAGGACTCGGGGACGTTTGTGATCAAGCCGTCCGAAGTCGTGGTCGAGTCGCTTGAAAGCAACCAGTTGGAGCTGCAAACAATGGTCGGGATGGGCAAATTCGTCGAGTTCTTCAAGGAGCGTGTGCTCACGAGTCAAAAGAGTCTTGGGCACGTCGAAGAGGTGCTCAAGGAGTGGGTGAGCGTCTCCAAGCAGTGGGCGTCGCTGGAAAGCATCTTCCTGAGCTCGCCCGATATTCGAAACCAGCTGCCAGACGACACGCGCACGTTTGAAAGCATCGACTCCAACTTTAAAGACCTAATGAAGAACGCCGTGTGCGAGCCCAACGTTGTGACAGCGTGTACGGTCGAGAACCGCCTCGAGAGCCTCAAAGAGATGACGGCGATGCTCGAAAAGTGCCAAAAGTCGCTCAATGAGTACCTGGACAAGAAGAAGAAAATCTTTCCGCGCTTTTACTTCGTCTCGAACGTGGCGCTACTGGACATCTTGTCCAACGGAAACAACCCAAAGAAGATCATGCCGTTCCTGGGCGATTGCTACGACTCCCTGACCAACTTGATCTTTGAGGACGGCAGCCCCAACACGGCGCACACGATGATCGCGAAAGACAAGGAGCAGGTCAAGCTGCCCAAGATCTTTGTCATGGCGGGGGCCGTCGAGTGCTGGCTGAACGACCTCACCGAAGCTATGCGATACTGTATCAAGAAGGAGATGCACGACTCGATCGAGACGGCGGCCAACTGGGACGTGGAGAAGCCGCGCCATCTGTGGTTGTTCGACTACTGCGCCCAAGTAGTGCTCAATTCGACGCAGATCTACTGGACCGAAGAAACCGAGATGGCCCTCGAGGAGTTTGAAAACGGACAGGAAGACTCGGTCAAGCGGTACTTGGCCACGTGCAACCAACGCCTCGAGCACCTGATTAACCTCGTTTTGGGGGAGCTGAAGAAGGGCGATCGATGCAAAATCATCGCGCTCATCACGCTTGACGTGCACTCCCGCGACGTGGTCAAGAAACTCGTCGACGAAAAGGTCGAAGGGCCGCTGAGTTTTCTGTGGCAGCAACAGCTGCGCTTCATCTGGAGACAGGAAACTATGGACGTGGACATTCGCATCACGGACTTCAGGTCCAAGTATTCGTACGAGTGGATCGGCAACACTGGTCGCCTCGTCATCACACCTTTAACTGATCGGTGCTACATCACGCTCACGATGGCACTTCGGCTGTTCTTGGGCGGCGCCCCCGCTGGCCCCGCTGGGACCGGCAAGACAGAGACGACAAAGGATTTGGCTCGGGCTATGGCGCTGTGTTGTTACGTGTTCAACTGCTCGGACCAGATGAACTACCAGACGATGGCCGACATCTTCCGGGGGTTGTGCCAGACAGGCACGTGGGGTTGCTTTGACGAGTTCAACCGGATCAACATTGAAGTGCTGTCGGTGGTGGCGACCCAGGTCAAGTGCGTCCAAGACGCGATTGTGTTCAATGCCGTGCCCGCGAACCGCGAAGAAAAGTACCGCCACATCGCCGCGGGCACGCCGCCGGTGGTCGTGGGCGAGTTTGAGTTTATGGGCGCGTCCGATCGCATCACGTTGATCCCGACCTGCGGCTTCTTCATCACGATGAACCCAGGGTACGCCGGGCGCACGGAACTTCCCGAGAACTTGAAGGTGCTCTTCCGATCATGCGCCATGATCCGTCCGGATCTACGGCCGATTTGCGAAAACATGCTCATGAGCGAAGGGTTCCAGCAAGCGCGAACCCTGGCCATCAAGTTTGTGACACTGTACCAGTTGAGTTCCGAGCTCCTGAGTAAGCAGTTCCACTACGATTGGGGGCTCCGCGCCGTCAAGTCTGTGCTGCGCGTGGCGGGAATTCTCAAGCGCGCCGAGCCCGACGTCGAAGAGGACAAGGTGCTCATGCGCGCTTTGCGTGATTTCAACACGCCCAAGATTCCCCACGTGGACACGTCCATCTTCCTGCGCCTGATCAACGACCTCTTCATCGGCGTCGAAGTCGCGCCCAAGGTCAACAACGAACTGCGGGAAAAAACCGTGATCGTGTGCAAGCAAAACAACCTCCAGTCGGACGAGTCGGTGATTCTCAAGGTGTGCCAGCTCCAAGAACTGATTGACGTCCGGCACTCGGTCATGCTGCTTGGCTCGGCTGGCTGTGCCAAGACCACGACGTGGCAAACGCTGGCCAAGTGCTGGAACTTGAATAAGGAAAAGAAGATATGTGTGTACGAGACGCTGAACCCCAAGGCGGTCACGTCCGACGAGTTGTACGGGTACATGACGCTGTCCAAGGACTGGAAGGACGGCGTGATCTCCATCATCATGCGCGGGATGGCCAAGAATTACGCCGAGCAGGGGTTCTACGAAAGCCAGAGCTACAAGTGGGTCGTGCTGGACGGCGATATCGACGCCGTGTGGATCGAGTCAATGAACACTGTCATGGACGACAACAAGGTGCTGACACTAGTCTCGAACGAGCGCATCCCCCTCTCAGACGCCATGCGCATGATCTTTGAGATTAACTCACTCAAGAACGCGACTCCCGCCACGGTGTCTCGGGCGGGGATCCTATTTATCAACGAAATTGACATTGGCTGGCGCCCGTTCATGGAGTCGTGGGTCGCCCGTCGCGAAGAAGAGATCGAACGGACGTACCTTCCCGGTCTGTTTGACAAGTACATTGAAGCCACGAGCGAAATGACTCGCAAGGGGTTCAAGCAGGTGTCCCCCGTCCGCATCATCAACCAAGTGAGCACCGTGTGCTACCTCCTCGAAGGGCTGTTCACGGAAATCCCCCCCGAAAAGAAGACCCAGGAAGTGATCGAGTACGTGTTTGTCTTTTGTGCGACGTGGGCCTTTGGCGGGCCGTTCATTGTCGACAAGAGCGTCGACTACCGCAAAAACTTTAGCGAGCTGTGGATGTCCACGTTCACAACGGTCAAGTACCCCAAGGAAGGCACGTGTTTTGACTACTTTTACAACGTCGACACCAACGAGTTTGACCACTGGAGCACCAAAGTGCCCAAGTACGTGGCGTCCCCCATCGGCAACGGCGCCGCCGACACGCCCTTCTCCAACATTGTCATCAGCACCATCGATTCCATTCGCCTCACGCGGCTCGTGGAGGTGCTGGTCAACCGCCAGCGCCCCGTGCTGCTCGTGGGCGGGGCGGGCACGGGGAAAACCACAATCCTCAAGAGCTTCCTGCGCAGTTTGGACGAGGATATGTTGCACACGTGCATCAACATGAACTACTACACGGACTCGTTCAAGTTGCAGCAGCAGCTCGAGCAGGTGATTGACAAGCGCAGCGGTCGGATGTTTGGGCCCCCCGCCACGAAGCGCCTTATCTACTTTATCGATGATCTCAATCTCCCGTACATTGAAACGTACGGGACCCAAAACTCGCTGGCGTTGATGCGGCAGCACATGGATTATAAAACGTTCTTCGACCGCGTCGACTTGGGGTTCCGCAAGGAGATCGTGGACGTGCAGTACCTCTCGGCTATGAACCCCACGGCCGGATCGTTTATCATTGACGAGCGTCTGCAGCGGCATTACGCGCTATTTGCGTGCATGATGCCGAGCAAGGACGACCTTAAGACCATCTACAACAGCATTCTCAAAGGCCACTTTGGGTTTGGGTTTGGCCCCGCCTTGATTAACGCCAGCGACAACATTGTGGCCGTGAGCATCGCCGCGCACGAAGACATTTGCAACAAATTTCTGCCCAGTGCGACCAAGTTTGTGTACAACTGGAACATGCGCGAACTGAGCAACATCTTTCAGGGCTTGGTGCGGGCCAAGGGGGAATTTTACCCGACGGTCGAGTCGTTTGCGAGGCTGTGGATCCACGAATGTACACGGGTGTTTTGCGATCGCATGATCAACAACGAAGACGTCGACAAGTTTACCGAACGGATGCGCGATATTTCCAAGAAATTCCTGCCAGACGTGGACCAGGATAAACTGTTTCCCAAGGCTACGTCCGGGGACGAAGTGCCGGACGGACCGCAGCCGGTGGTCAACATTTTCACGTCGTTTGCGACCCCCATGGCGGGCGCCGACACGCCGTACCTTCCGATCGTGTCGATGAAACACCTGAACAAAGTGCTGTCTGACCAACTGGACGACTACAACCAAAAGTACTCGATGATGAACTTGGAGCTGTTTGACAACGCCATGGAGCATGTGGCCCGGATTTGCCGGATCATTGGAAGCCCCGGCGGTAATGCGATGCTCATCGGGGTCGGCGGGTCCGGGAAGCAGTCGTTGAGTCGGCTGGCGTCGCACATCGCGGGCTTCGACGTCCGGCAGCTCAGCGTCACGGCCAACTTCAAGATCGAGGACCTCAAGGAAAGCCTCGCAGAGATGTTCAAGGCGTCTGGCGTTGCGGGCCTTCCCATCGTGTTCTTGATCACCGACTCACAAATCGTCAATGAGCGGTTCCTGGTGTACATCAACGACATGTTGAGCTCGGGGTGGATTCCGGATCTGTTTGCAAAAGACGAAGTCGACGGGTTACTCAACGGACTTCGCACGGAAGCCAAGACGCAGGGCATCCCAGACACCCCCGAGACCCTCATGGACTTTCTCCTACTTCGCATCCGCCTCAACTTTCGCATCATCATGTGCTTTTCGCCGGTCGGCGCGGTGTTCCGAGTCCGCGCGCGGCGGTTTCCTGGTCTAGTGAACTGCACAGTCATCGACTGGTTCCATCCGTGGCCGAGGGAAGCACTGGTGCGAGTGGCCACGAGTTTCCTGGACAAGGTGGAAGACCTCGGCGATGCGGCGTTGAAGAAGAGCATTGCAAATCATATGGCGGACGTGCACATCAGCGTCACGGACATGAGTAAAAAGTACTTTGAGACCCAGCGCCGGTACAACTACGTCACGCCCAAGAGTTTTCTGGAGCTGATTAGTTTCTACGAGATCCTGCTCGGTCAAAAGAAGCAGGAGATCCAACGCCAAATCACGCGCCTCGACGACGGGCTGAGCACGCTGCGCAAGACGTCGGCGGACGTGGCCGAGCTCCAAGTCGACCTCAAGCACACGATGCTCATCGTAGCCGAAAAGCAGGCGTCGACGGACCTCCTGCTCGAGCAAATGGGCAAGGAAAAGGCAGGGGCCGAGATTCAGCAGGAGAACGCCAATAAAGAGAAGGTCAAGGCCGAGGCGGCCAGTGCGTCGGCCCAGGAGCTGTCGACGCAAGCGGAGAAGGAACTCGGGGCAGCCAAGCCGGCGATGGACGCCGCGGCCGCCGCCGTCGATTGTTTGTCCAAGGCCGCGATCCAAGAACTAAAGTCGCTGCCGAAACCCCCCGCGGGGGTCGACTTGGTCACGAAAGCGTGCTTGATTCTAGTTGAAAAAGAGTACAAGAACCACAAGTGGGACCGCGCCAAGAAGATGATGAACAATCCAGGCGCGTTCCTGGATAGTTTAAAGGTGTTTCGAGGCGAAGACATCCCCGAAGCCGACATTGGCCGTGTCGAGCCCATGATTGCCGACCCCGAGTTTACGGCAGAGAAGATGGCGTCCAAATCGGCTGCCGCGGCCAACTTGTGCTCGTGGGTGGTGAATATCTTTACGTTCAATCGCATTTACGTCCGCGTCAAGCCGTTGATGGACTCGCTCGAGTCGTCACGGAAGAAGAAGGAGGAGGCGGAAGAGACGTTAGCCAAAGCGATGGGCCAAGTGGCCGAAGTACAGCGGCGGTTAGAGGTGCTGGAGGACACGCTGAGACAAGCGACTGAAGAAAAGCTCCAAGTCGAACTCATGAAACAGAACTGCGAGAACCGCTTGGTTTTAGCTGGGAAGCTCGTGAACGGCCTCGCGAGTGAAAACGAGCGGTGGGGCATTGAAATCGGCCAGCTTCGGAACAACGCGGTCATGGTCGTGGGCAACTCGTTGCTAGCGGCGGCATTCGTATCGTACATTGGCGCGTTCGACCAGCAGTTCCGACGCGATTTGTGGTTCACAACGTGGGTACCCGACTTGGTGGCCAAGGCGATTCCGTTGACCGAAGGCATCGACCCCCTGAGCATGCTCACAAACGAAGGCAAGAACGCGAAGATGATGAGCGAGGGGCTACCCGCCGATCGCATTTCGATTGAAAACGGATCGATTATCACCAACTGCAAGCGGTGGCCACTCATTATCGACCCGCAATTACAAGGGATCAAGTGGTTACGAGAGAAAGAAAAGCACCGCGAGTTGGTTGTGATTCAGCTCACTCAAAACCAGTGGCTGCGCAAGATGGAGACGGCTATTGTGAACGGACACGTGGTGATTGTGGAGAACATTGGCGAAGAGATCGATGCGACGCTGGACCCGGTGCTCGCGCGGGCAGTGTACCGCAAGGGGTCGAGTGCGAGTTTGTACTTAAAGTTCTCGGGCGAAGAAGTGCAATATGAGCCGTCGTTCTTTATGTACCTGCAGACCAAGCTTAGCAACCCGCACTACAAGCCCGAGATTGCCGCACAGTGCACGCTCATCAACTTTATTGCGACAGAGAGCGGGCTAGAAGACCAATTGCTCCAAAAAGCAGTCAACAAGGAACAGCCGGAACTGGAAAAACAAAAGCAGGAGCTCGTGCTAGCGTTCCAAAAATTCAAAATCGACTTGGTCGAACTCGAAGACCAGTTGCTCGAACGACTGGCGAACGCCCCCGACGACATTCTCAGCGACGTTCCGTTGATTGAATCGCTCGAAGAAACCAAAATGAAAGCCACGGACATTGCTGTATCGGTCAAGAAGAACCAAGAGACGGAAATCGTCATCAACAACACCCGTGAGCTGTACCGTCCAGTGGCGGCAGAAGGCGCCATGCTGTACTTTTTGCTCACCACGTTGTGTGCAATTGACCACATGTACCGGTACTCGCTCGACTCGTTCGTCACGTTTTTCTTTGCGTCCATCGATCGTGCAACGCCCGCGGAAAAGCAGGCGGACCGCGTGCTCAACCTCCGCGAGTCGCTGCGGATCACCGTGTTCACGTGGGTGTCCCGCGGGTTGTTTGAGTCGCACAAGCTGATTTTCCTCAGCCAGCTCACGTTCAACCTCATGAAGCGCGGGATTCTCGGCGAGGAAGTGCGCATTGCAGACACGTACATGCAGTTTCTACTCCGGGGGCCCAAGAAGACGGGGTCCCCCGACACGGACGCCAACCCGATCGAGTGGCTGCCCAACGCCCAGTGGTACTCGATCCAAGCACTGGCGGTCATGGAAGAGTTCAACAAGATGCCACAGGATCTCAAGGAAGCGTCGTCCCGGTTCCGGGAATGGTATAATCACGTCACCCCCGAGAGCGAAAAGCTACCGCTCGACTGGGCGGGACTGGATCGGACGCCGTTCTTGAAGCTGCTGGTCGTGCGCTGTTTGCGGCCAGACCGGATGACGTCGGCCGTGTCCGAGTTTATTCGGCACGTGCTGCCCAATGGCTCCATGTACTGCGACTGCGACTCGTCGTTGAACTCCACGCAAGTGATGGACAACAGCTACCTGGACTCGACGCCCACGACGCCGCTGTACTTTATCCTTTCGCCCGGGGCGGACGTCGTCGCTGGTTTGGACAAACTAGCCATCAAGTACGGCTTTGAACGAGGCGTGTCGTACCACAACGTGTCTATGGGCCAAGGCCAAGACGTGTTTGCAATGGATCGCCTCGAAGTCGCCCATCGCAACGGCCACTGGGTGATCCTCAACAACATCCACTTGATGCCGAGGTGGCTCATCACGCTTGAGAAGAAACTGGACGAGTTTGCGTTGGAAGGAAGTCACAAGAACTTTCGCCTATTTTTAACGTCCGACCCGTCGAACGCGATCCCCATTGGCGTGCTCAATCGATGCATTAAACTCACCAACGAACCTCCGAGTGGACTCAAAGCTAACTTGAAGCGCGCGTTTGTGAGCTTCCCCAAGGAGTACATTGAAGAAGCGGAAGGCAAAGTCAAGTCCATCTTGTTTGGGCTGTGCCACTTTCACGCAGTGATGATGGAGCGCAAAATGTACGGCCCCCTAGGGTTCAACATGATGTATCCGTTCTCGCTCGGGGACTTGCGCGACAGTGCCATCTGCCTCACCAACTACCTCGAAAACTCGGCGGGCGGCAAGATTCCGTGGGCCGACCTCAAGTACATTTTCGGGGAAATCATGTACGGCGGACACATTGTCAACGACTTTGACCGGTTGCTCGCCAATACGTACTTGGACTTTTACATGCGCGACGAACTTCTAGACGAAATGGAAATGTTTCCGTTTGTGGGCGACGAAAAGGGGCCGTCGTTCATGTCGTTGGCGCCGTCCTCGTACGACAAGTACCTCGAGCACATTGAAACCGAGCTCAAGTCGGACTCGCCCTTGGCATTTGGACTCCACCCGAACGCGGAAATCGACTTCCGCACCACGCAGAGCGAAAACTTGTTTCGGACACTCATGGAACTCCAACCCCGCGACGCCGCGGCGGGGGATGCCGCGTCCAGCCCCATGGAAATCGCGCGGACGGCGCTCGAGATGATCATGGGCCGCATCGGCGAAAAGAAATTCGAAGTCGACGACATCACTCGGTCCCTTGAAGAGATTGGACCGTATCAAAACGTGTTTTTGCAAGAATGCGACGCGATCAACGTGCTGCTGCAAGAGATTTCGCGGTCCCTGAACGAGTTGCAGCTGGGTTTCCTTGGGGAGCTCACGATGAGCGACGCCATGGAAAGCGTCCAAGAAGCCCTCTTCTTGGACAGAGTGCCCAAGACGTGGGAGAAGCTCGCGTTCCCGTCCATGCGCGCGCTGGGGGGCTGGCTGTTGAACCTCGAGCAGCGACTCACTCAGCTGGACGAGTGGACGCAGAACCCAAGCGACATTCCGCGCGTGACGTGGCTGAGTGGCATGATCAACCCGCAGTCGTTCCTTACTGCGATCATGCAAGTCACGGCGCAAAAGTGCCAGCTCGAGCTCGACAAACTTGTGATTCAAACCGACGTGATCAAGCGCAAGAGCTCCGAGGTCGACGCGCCGTCCAGAGATGGCGCGTACATCCACGGACTGTTTCTCATGGGCGCGCGATGGGACTCGAACAACACGACTGTGGACAAGTCGTTCCCTAAGGAAATGTTCTGCGCCATGCCCGTCGTTAACTGCAAAGCCATCCAAGCCGACAAACTTGACCTCAAGGGGTCGTACCTGTGCCCTTGTTACAAGACCGAGTTCCGAGGACCGACTTATGTGTTTTCGGCCCAGCTCAAGACCAAATCGCCGCCCGCGAGGTGGGTGCTGGCAGGGGTCGCCCTCATCATGGACGTACCAGTCGTGTAAGCGCACGCGTTCGTAGCGATAGATTGATGTAAATATGACGCTTGTTGTTTCATGGGTTTGCTTCAGCCTTTCACTACTACCAGTTTGTTCTTGCAACAAATCGATTTGATGCAGGTACTCTACGACTTGAGGATGGCCATTTGCAGTGGTCAGTAGCATAGCTTCCCGACGATGCCACGTCATTGGAACGGCCTCGATCAAATATCCCACAATACTCAAATGTCCGTGTGCCGCAGCGCCAGTCAGTGCCAGATTGCTGCATGGTGCCAACGCCTCTTGAGTCAAATATCGAACGATCAGGTCGTGTCTGTTCGGTCCACGGCCGCCCTCGTGCATCCTTCCGACGTATTCGAGTGTAAATACTTCACAACTTCGAAATGTCCGTTTTCGCTGGTTTGGTCAATGGCAACGGCAGTGCATATTTGGCGTTGTGTAAATACTGCACCATTGTCAAATGCCCTCCGCAAACCGCGGCGTCCATGATGCTGGGATTGGTTTGGTCACTGGTTAACGGTAGCAAGTACAGCAGTATGTCAAAATCGCCACACAACGCAGCCGCTTCCAGGGCCAACCCCATCTGCGTAGTGGAGTACGTTGAATTGTGGAGGAAACGTTGGACGATACCCAAGTGGCCGCTTCGGGCAACCAAATGCAGGTGCTATGGCTTACTTAAGTGGCCGCTTCGGGCAGCCAAATGCAGGTGCCATGGCTTACTCATGTGGTCGTAGCCGTTGTCGCAGAGGAACTCCATCCGTTAAAATTGAATGCTCCCTTCATGGCGTCGATAGTGCACCCGTCGGCGCGGTGGGTTTGCAGCCACGTCACCTCCGTCGAGCACCTTCGCTTCGGTGCTCGTGGAGCCACTGTACAACGTCCAAGTGTCCATTGGAGGCTACAAAGACCATCGCAGCATCAGTGCAATCGTTGACCGTCCAATAATTGTGAATGGTGGAGGTATCCGCATGATGCGGCATCATCCATAGACCACTCGAACGTTGTGCCATGAAGTCACTGATCATGCCAAGCACAGAGTCGTCGCCGACAGCAGTGCGACAAGCGACGTCGACTCACGTCAGAACCATCGCACTTGTTGCAGAATGACAACCAGTAGATACCACTGATTGGCGGAACGACGGAGGTTTCCATCGAATCGAGAAATCTGATTGGTCCATTCCTCGACCCAAAGGGCACAAAATCAAAAAATGGACTAAAAAATGATAAAGTCAAACTACGCAGTGCGGGCGAGACCAGTTGGATTTGCTGATGCGGCGGCTACGGTGTTGTCGTGCACGTTCAGTCGCTTGGCCATGCCGTTCGAGACCAGTTCCATCTCCAATGTGTCAGCAATACTACGATGCCCGTGGAACGTGGCCGCTTTAATCGCTTCATGATATGGCCAGTTCGCGTGGGGGTATTTCGTCAGGAGGATGCTCACAATATCTTGGTGTCCTCCGGCAGCCGCCGAGCGCAGGGCGTGGGTCGAGCAGGTGGCTGGGCTGGCTGCGAGGAGTTGGACGACCTCCAGATGGCCATTGGACGCAGCGTAGTCCATCGCGTGGGTCGTACAACCTTCATTGCGATGCTGAAGGAGGAACGACACCGTGTTGGCGAAACCGCCTTCGCTCGCCTTGTCCAACGCCCGAGTGGTGCACGGCTGGTTGTGTTGGTGGAGAAAGGCCACGATGTCCAAGTGGCCCTTGGCGGCGGCGCTGTCGAGCGCGTTAGGACTGGCGCGACCTACGCACTGAAAGAGAAAGCCGACGACATTTAAGTGACCGTAGCGCGCAGCGACGTCCAACGCGGCCACGATGCTGTCTTGGGCTTCGGGGGTGAGTGGAGTTGGTTGCAATGAGACGAAGTGCTGGACGATGTCGATATGGCCGCATTTGGCGGCGTAATGGAGGTAGATGCGACAGTTGGAAGCGACGAAGTAGTCGTGATCGATGAGGAACCGGACGACGTCCAGGAAGTCGTACTTGATCGCTCCTTTGATGGCTTCTTCGGTGCATTTCTCTGGGCGATTCGCGTGTAGCCACTCGACGATAGGCAGGAAACCGTGGGCGGCCGCGCTGTCCATGGCTTTGGGCGAGCAGCCTTCTGTGCGGAACTGGTGCAACCACTGAACTAGAGGCAAATGCCCATAGCTGGCGGCGCTGTCCATGGCGGCCACTGTAGCTCCTTCCGTCCGATTTTCATGCAACCACTGCACCATGTCCAGGTTTCCGCGACTGGCGGCACCGTCCAAGGCCTGGGTCGTGCATCCTTCCTGCCGATTCTCGTGTAGCCATCTGACGACGTCAGAGTGACCGTTGGTTGCGGCTCCGTCCATAGCCGCCACGGTGCACCCCTCTGGTGTGTTCGTGTGCAACCACTGGACCACATGCAGGTGACCGTTCTCGGCGGCAGCGTCCATGGCGCGCTCCGTCAGGTAGAGGAACTTGTCCGTCGCGCGAATTCCCTTGATGAACTCGAGGTCGCCATGGCTCGCCGCGTCATCAATGTCTGCGTACTCCATGGTATCTTGCGAAGGATGCGAGTAACCACGACGATTTTCGCGATTTGATTTGCAGCATACAAACCTCAAGTCCAATTGACTTCATGTTCGATTTCCAATCGCTTTTGTGAATCACTTTATTCAGCCAATCCAAAATCAACCAATATATCTTAACAGCCAATCACAACACATGCATCGAAAGTCAAATTGCACTTCTAAACAGTTACTATTAATAGTAACTCCTACACACCAAGCCGAGTACATCCATCCACCTTCACTAGAGTTGTCGTGGTTTCCTATGCTCATGCCTGTCGTTCTTTGAAGCTGCCAACACGAAATTGCGACATCCTACTGTGGCTATTACTATTAGTACCTAGTCATTACGACAAGGAACTTTCATATGACATGCATACATGTATATATCTTTTTTATCTATCTATCAACGTGGCGAAGGTCGTTTTCCCAATTGTTCGCGAATGTACGACGAACTCAGCGTACTGGCATCTGTTCGACGGCACACGTAAATGTTCAGCGGGTGGAGTCCTCTATCGGCGCGAATGGCGTTGATCTTGACCGCCCCGAGCTGCGTTTCCGTGGAGACGACGATGGCCGAGATGTCGGCAGACGTAATGGCGGGGCCGAACGGGTCGTCGATGGTGATGATGGTCGGCGCAACATGGGGATGCACGTCGCGCAGGAAGGCTTCCACTCGGGACTTGCGCTCTTGAATGGACTCGATCAGATGTCCCAAGCTCTTCTTCTGCAGCATATGCGGCGCTGTGACCCCAATGAGCATCCCATTGTCGGCCAATGCAGCGCCAAACGACAGAAGTTTCTTGTGTCCGTTGTGGAGGTGGTCAAAGGTGCCGCCAATGACAACGAGCGACTCCTTACCTAGTCGTCGCGTCGGATCTTCGAGATAGATAAACGTCGTTGCATCGACACTTCTGTCGACGATGTCATTGAAAGGGAAAAAGGCGATGGGAGATGAACCACGGCAGTCGTTGAGCACCGCCACGTCCATGTCCTCGTATGCGAAGGCGGCAGTTAGGTCAGGCCGGGCGATGATGTCCTTCCATGACTGATCGACGCTGCTGACCACGCGGATGTCCAAGTCATGCTTGTTCGCGACGCACGCTGCGTTCCATAAGAGGTTGTACAGCTCGCCCAAGTACCGCAGGCGGTCGCTAGAGGACGAACCGTCGTCCTTCGTGTCGTCCACAAAGACATACAGCATGGAGTCCACTTTGGCAACTGCCATCTCCACCAACACATCGTTGCGAAGGATGTGGAGGAAGTCGTCGTGGGGATTTCGGAGGTACAGGACTCCCACACGAAGTCCAGGTACAGGACGAGATCCATGCGCCGTGTGTTTCCTAGAAGCTTTGCGGATCTGGAGAGCGGAGTAGACGCAGAGAACGGCAGCGGCGGCGGTGTACACGCCCGTCCAGTTCACCCAAGAATGCCCCGTCGTCATGGTTGTCGTCAATCAAGTTTCCATCCAGCATGAAAATTCAAATCTCCACCAATGGGATGTGTGCAAATGGTTTATTTTAGCCAATCCAAATTATGTTTAGCGTCATAGAAACGGCGCATTTTCACCACGATCACCGTCCCCAGGCGAATGCAATGTCGGTGCCATGGGATGCACGGGGTACGGTCCATCATGCCACATTTGATGCAAGTCTCCAGAGATGAAAGCTGCGATGGAGATGCCACCCAACGTGCACGGCACGAGGTAGAGGAGCGCCGGCTGCCCCATCTCCATGACCACGACGGCGACGTTGGCGGCCAAGAGACCGAGGCAGTACCCAATGCACGTGACGACGTAATATCGATGAAAGCAGACGTCTGTTTGCTTGACGTGCACCTCGCGGGCGTAATCGAAGCGCAGCGCAAAGGAGAGCAAGAGGCCGGGGAGGACGATGTCCCCGAGCCCGAGCATGGCCTGGCCGCCGCGCCAGTCGTGGAACCGCGGGAACAAGAGCAGCATCGGGAGCGGTTCCGGGTCCAAGCAGGCGTCGAAGGCCGGGTACCTCTCGCAAAAGTCCACGCCGGGGTAGCCGCTTTTGGAGCTGGCACTCTGGCCGCCCGTGGCGACGTCGACCATGACCGACCGGCCAAAGAGCAGCGGCGTCACAAACACAAAGAAAATGTCGTAGAAGAAGGCGAGGACGAGCAGCACCGACGCCACTTGGAGGGTGGGGAGGCGGATGGTGCGGAGGAAGACGAAGCAGAGGGCGATGCCGAAGGCGTCTTGGAGGAACCAAAACGTCGACCGATCAACGTACCAGAGCACGACCAGCGCCGCGGTGACGAGGGTGGCCACGACGTCCGGGATCGGCAAGGGGCCAACGATGGACGGACACCGGAGGACGTATCGGCGACGGAGGCAGCAGAGGAGGGTGCGGAAGATGGGCTGGGTCACGAGCATGGTGAAGGTGGAGAGGGTGGACAGCCCAAAGAGAATGGACAGGAGGGGACCGACGTGGACAAAATACAGAAAGGTCAGAAACACCCCCGCGAACAAGATGAAGGCGACGGCATGCCGGAAGGACACGTCGAGCACGTCGTCCGAGGCGTCGTGCTCATGATGACGGTCGTCGTCGGCGTGGGCATGGGGCTTGGAAGCCAACATGGCTTGGCGGTCCATGGAGGCGGCGTAGTAGGCGCCGCCGATGGCCGTCGCGATACCCAGCGCCCAAAGTACGATGGATGCGACTTCTACCAGCGGAACTGGGCGCTGGAAAAGCGTGCCGTGGATGGAAGGTGTGAAGATGCGAGTGAGATTTTCGCCTTGTCCGACAGTCACAAATACGATGGGGAGGGCGAGTGATGTGTTTTTGAGGGTCGTGGTGTTGACCCCCATGAGTAAATGTGTGTCCCACATGCAGCAGACTTGGAACCCGCGGTCCGACTGGAGGCCCGTGGGGAGGCAGATGTGCGACGCGCATTCAGGGCTTTGCGCACAGGCCGAGTCGTCGGGGACGAGCCAAGGCTGCGAGGGATGCAAGTGAGCAAGGAAGGATTCTCCGTGGAGACAGTCAGTGGCAAAGGACATAGAGGGAGTGGACGACGAGGCGGAGAGGTTGCTTCCCCCTGACGCCGTTCGATTCCGATCGACGAAGTACACGGTTTCACGCGTGTTGCGAATGATCAAGGCACTGGCGCCGGCGTTGGATGCATGTAGCGCTTTGTCCAAGAAGGAACAGTTGCCTCGATTCACGACGACATAGGCACCTTTATATGCTGACGACATGGCAGAGCATCCATCGGTGCTGGCAAGTTGAATGGGATGCTTTGGAGTGGACGAACTTGTTGGAAGGCGAGGCCCCCATCCGGACTGGGAACTCGGAGCCACTAGCATGTCTGTCGCATTCTTGGCGTCGTTAGAGAGACGGAGAATTCCTGACGGGACCACAGCGCTCGCATGTTCACAGAGAAGGAGAAGCCCTGGAAGTACGCGCAGGAGAGTGCGCATCGCAAAAATGATATCCCAACGAAACGGAAACATATCCGGATTGGTTCGGATAATTATCCGGAAACCACTTTTTTGATTCCGCCACCACACACCGCTTGTCGCGCCGCTGCCCTCGAAGGACTTGCCATGGTGCGTGATCGATTCCATGATATGTGAGGAGAGGAAGGGTCTCACGGTGGTGCATGTAGCTGTTCTATTCGTTCTTCAAGACCCTGCTGGGCAAAGAAGTGGCTGTGGAATTGAAGAATGACGTCGCATTGGTTGGGACCTTGCATTCGGTGGACCAGTACCTCAACATTAAACTGACCGACGTCAGCGTCGTGGAAGAGTTCAAGTACCCTCAATTGGTATGTTGTACTTTTGTTCGATGTATGGGACCCTTCTCATTGACATGTCTTGCAGATGAACATGAAGAATTGCTTTATTCGCGGGTCAGTCGTGCGATATATTCAAATTGCCAAGGCCGACGTGGACACGGAACTGCTTCAAGATGCCGCGCGGAGAGAAGGAAGTGCGAACCGAGCAGCCACTACCCGAGCGTAAAAGTTCCATCCCATCGTACGAGAGAGATTGGGGAGTTCGTTAATATAAATGTCGGGTTCCATTCCGAATCAATCGTCAGGCCTACTGTACTCGTCTACCACCACAACTTGCCGGGCATGTACTTGTCGATGAGCGCTTGGTAGTATGGCCAGAGCGCCGCCACGTCGGGTCGCTTGTCGGCTTTCGTGTACAGGTCAAACTTGTTGAACTCGAGCACCCATTCCAACAACGCGTCGTCGCCGGGCGCCATCAGGTGCGTGTACTCCTTCTTGTTGTGCCACGGGTAGCACGAATGGTATCGAATCATGGCGAGTCCTTCGTCGGGAATTGACGCGCCATTGAACACGAGCATCTGGTACATGTATTCGTCGTGGCCCCAGGCGAACTTGAGGTCCGCGAGGCCACAGTTCGGTTCGTAGATGCCCAAGGGGGTGTTGTACGCGGGGTTCTGCATGTCCGAGTTCAGCGAGTTGAATTCAGGAAACACGGTCGAGTCAGGGATAGCACATCCGATCACCCACGTGTCGCCGCCGAGAGACCACTGGTCACCGTCCGCAGTGCCTTGCTGTCCGTCGGCGGGTTGACCCCACATGTACTGGATCTTCCCCATATCATGGAGCAACCCCACGAGCTGGAACCAGTCGGGATGTCCTGCCGCGCGAATCGCTTCTGCTGTCTGAAGCATGTGCTCCAAGTTCGGCAAGGACGAGTCCGGGTCCGACGAGTCCACGTACCCCTTGAGGGACTCAAACGCTTCCCATACTGTCATCTGCGCCCGATCAAACTTGCCCCAGAAGGTTTGCATCTTCTCGTGGAACTCGACTGTCTGATTCTCGCGCATGAGCCGGTAGTGCCGCTGCACCATCGCTTGGCGATCGCTGTTCTTGTAGTTGCGGAATTCCTCGACAGCTTTGCCGGCCGTGACGGGCTTGTGCTCCTGCGGATAGGACACAGCAGCAATGGTGCTTCGATTGGCGGCGGTGATCGTCATCATGCAAATGGGCTAGCGGCGACTGCAGTCAAAACGCGAAATGAGCCGCACTCGGCCACGCCCGCTGATCGGTGGCATTGTCTGGATGGCGGTTGCCGAAGATATGGGCAGGTTATTTATAGCTGCAGAACAGATCAGCAGAACACCACCTCGTGCAATTCTATGCATTCAGTGTTAAAATAGGGCGTTTTCAATTTCCAGTAGTTTTTGAAGATTGTTGGAACGTACAAATCCGAATTTCGTTTAAAATTAGGATAATATCCAAATTTGAGGGGAATCGACGAATATATTTGTACTTTGGTGGTTGAAGTTGACGTTGTCATACTTTCTTCGAAAGGCGCCTGCCATCCAGCCACGCCACCAGCCATTTTGGCCTGCAGAAGTCGCGTCAACACTTCTGCGTCCCATGCCAGAAGCGCATGCATATTACAACTGCGTAAGGTTCCTCTGTCGACAATGTGCAAGGAAAGTGCAACAAAAATACATGGCGTTTCGCGTTATAGTCGTGCAGACGAGGTCTCTTTGGAGGTCATATTGAACCTCCACTTTTGGAATCCTGCAAAGAAAATGCATCAAGCCAGCAAGCCTTTGAGTCCCACCATCAGAATCGCGAATCTTTGGGCCTTACAATAACATAACACGCATATTGTATACAGTAGATCTCATACAGTATACTTGTGTATGGCGTTTGAATGATGTATGCTGATGTTGGTGGTCAATGCAACTTGTTAAATGATCTGACGAAAAACCAACCTCCCCACGAAACCGATTTTCGAATTTTGACCAATCAAATGCCGTGGCGCGAAAAACGTCGTCGATTTTCAAAAAGTGCGAGGAAGTGTGGTGAACATGATCGTATGCTTGTACACCAAGCACAAGACTCAGAAGAAGAAGACGTACCACGACGGACATGTGATACGCTCTGCGACGAAGCTAACCCTCCTCAATGACGCGGGGGTGTCCATTGATTCCATGGCTCAATCGGCCACTGAGTGGACGCGGGACTTTCCGCACTTCGACTTTCCCAAGTACTGGTGTCTCGATGCTCTCTCAGTCTCTGACATAACCGTAGATTCCTGGTTGATATTGACGAAGATGTGTACACTGGTAACAATGCGCTACCATCCACGGGATCTGTTCCTTATCCTGGGCCAGAGGGGGTTGCGAAGACGGCACCTCCGAGCAGCTTTGGTCGACCTGGCGGGGGTAGTGTGAAACCACCGCCAGGAAAGTACGTCCCTCCTCGAAACAAATTTCAACCACCCAAACGAAAGTACGACGAGGATGCTGGCGAAGCGATCGAAAACAAAAACGCGGCCGACTTCACTCGCACATTTACACTGCAGAGGCCCCAGCATGAGCAACCACTTCACCACCCTCCGCCATCGACATCTACGCGTGCACCAACCGCGAGATCCCATGTTTCTGCACCAGGCATGTCGGCGAAGAAGAGTCGGTACGATTACAACAACGAAGACATGCCCTGTACGGAGGTGATCCCAGTCATACGAACATCATCGAACCATCCCAAGTCGTCCATGGTCGACACCACTAGCGATTTGTCCAAGTTAGTCAGCTCTGAATGGCCGGAAATGCCCAAACCACTTCCTCGAACTTGTACGTCCATGCCAACAGTCCTTGTTCTGACGTTGATGGTGTAGACGACGAAATCAGGCGCCTTTTGGGCGTCCTTGACGACCCGTGACGGCCAACAGGCAAGCAACGAATATGAAGACATGGTATATTTAATAGATAGGCCACTTCGACGTTCAGGGTGGGGTTTGAGTTGATTACTTGTGTTTCGCGGGGTGGTCTTTGGCAATGATGAGTTCCACCGAGTCTTTGGACTGAGTGATCAAGTGCTTGGACAAGACAGGCTTCTCGTCGTCTGGAATCGGCGCATACCCTTGCTGGTACATGATGAAGTTCTGTCGCAGGCGGATCGCAATGTAGATGATGAGCACGACAACCACCACCACAATCACTTCCACGGCCACCATGATACAAGGTGAGTATGGGAATGAGAATGTGCACCCTGTTTCTTCCGGTTACTCCATTATCCGGAATAATTATTTATCCAGCTTTTCCGGATAAATTTGATCGATGGTGCACAAGTTTTTCGCATTCCAAGATGTTGCGCCGTGCCATCCAAAGTTCGCGCAAAGCTGTGCAAGCAGGTAACTGAAGTCGCCGATCCTTCCTTGGTTATGTGTATCCTCATGCATATATAGCATGCTCGAAAGCAGCGCCCATTGCGTCCACGCGTGCCATGTCCAGATTCCATGGTGTTGCCGCGGCTCGCAGCGCTCCTTGTGGATTCATGCAAACACGCGCTTCCGCGGGTTTGCGATTCATGTCATCGAACGCGACCCGACCCGTCAAGTTTGGCGACCAAGTGTCCATCCTCATTGAAGGACGCTTGTCCAGTGGCGAGATCTTTGACGAGAAAGACACGGAGCCACAGAAGTTTATCGTCGGTGACGCCGATGTCATTCCTGGGTTGGAGGAAGGGCTGTTGGGCATGATCAAGGGCCAAACGAAGGTGATTGTCATTCCTCCGGAGCTTGCGTTTGGACCTGCGGGGGACGAGAGCGACCACGTGCGCATTTCCAAGGCCGACCTCAACCTCCTGTACGATCGATCAATCATATCTCTCATCATGACGCTCATGTGTTTGTTATCTACTACTGTAGCCCAAGTGAAGAAGTGGATTTGGAAGTGGGCAACTACATTGGGTTGGACAACGAAGGCGACATGGCCAAGATCATCAACATCGACGAGGACTCGATCGTCGTCGACACGAGCCACGACGTACGCTGTCGCATAAATATTCCATCACAGGAACTGACTAATTCTCTTGTTAGTTGGCGGGAGAGACGCTGCACTTGTCGGTCGAATTGGTCGGCCACGTGTCGTTGGAGGACTTGGACCCCAGCGAGCGCCTCGTGGTGCCGCATGAGATCTCGCCCGGCGACGAAGAAACGTACCCGGAACCAGGTCCTTGACGGAAATATTATTTTTATATATATATTAATATTTCATGGACAAATAGGTGACACATTGGCGGTGCACTACGAAGGCTGGTTGACCGACGGCACGCTGTTCGATTCGTCCCGCAAGCGTGGCAAACCGTTTGAGTTTATCGTGGGAAATGGCTTGGTAAGACAATATATATTTATATATTTCAATGTGATGGGGATTGATATATGGTTATTACGTAGGTGATCAAAGGCTGGGACGAAGGCATGCTCAACATGAGCAAGGGCGAAAAGGCCAGGCTGTATATCCCTGCGGCCAAGGGCTATGGGGCCCACGGAGCGCCGCCCACGATTCCCCCCAACTCGGACTTGATCTTCGAAGTGGAGCTCATCCAGATCAAGAAGAACCGTTAAGCCATGAATCACGTGAACTTGACTTCCATTATGTGACATCGTCTTCATACGAACGGGAGTAGCAGATCTGGTCACTCGTACTAATTGTTGGTTCTCACCACTTTGCGATGTCTCATATTCGCACAAAAAAGGTTGCCTCCTTGCATACGGTAATTGCATCAAATACATGAGAAATCCTGGGTTGGTAAACCCTCACAAGAGATTATTCGATGTACAGTACTTTAACTGTGTAAACCACAGCCAAGGTGTGGGGTATCATTGCAATACAGTATGCCGACGCTTAACAACTACTACTAGTAGCGCAAAGGTTCCGAGTCGATCATACCTTCGCTGTTGCAACATAACGTCGGCCAAGTCCAATATAGTCCTTTTACAGTTAACCTGTTCCCACTGAGTGATTTTAACTTTACAGCGTAATATCAATATCATTTTACAGTTCACCAAAAATTTGGATTTTTGTGCTGGTTAGACACATTTCTTTTTGTACTTACAGTTAGTAGTGACCAAGCCTTCCGTTGGCCCCGAGCGCCCGGGAGGTCGTGTGCGCGAGCGCGGCCGTACGAGAGCGCGGATCTAACCTTCTCACTTCACCGAATGATCTGTCTTCTTGTCGGGCAGCAACAGGTAGGCCGTAGACCGTGCCGCTCGCGGTCGAGGCTTGTACTAGTATGCAATGACCTACAATTACATATCCAAATTTACTCTCATCTCCACTAATTAGGACTGTACTAGTATGACCTAATGTTAATAATGACTTCTCGTTTGGCTTCACTTTTGAGAAATAAATATGAAATAGAAGCCCGACAGTTTAGTGAAATATTGGAAGTTTCTACATCTAGGTGTCGTGCACCATACTTGGAATTATTTATATGGAGTTCAAATAGTGTTATCCGTATCATGCGTCAGTCATCCAACTGCATCCAAACGTCATCCAGGTCTAGAGATGTTACGTCTCAAAATCAAATTTGGCGAAGAATTGGTCGATGGTATTACCTGTATGTTAATGCGCAGTCATATGAGTAGAATATATCGCAACAGGGATCCATGAATTTACGATTTTCGTGATTCATGGCATCGTTTGGTAGGACAAATTGGACAGCTTTGAATTCGCAAGGCAGTTCACCCTTGCGAATTCCAAAAACAGACAGACACATGAAAAATAAGAATCAAGAATTCAAACTTTACAAATTACACACAACATTAGAATTATTTATTGAAATTGCAAGGTCGTTCATCTTGCGCTGCACACAAAATTGCATAATAAATTAACCAGAAAAAGCAAGGCGAATTACTAAAAGTATTTCGCCTTGCTTTTTCTGGTTAATTTATTGCGAACTCGTTATAAACTTTTAAAATTCGCGTTGTTTGTCTAATCAAAATATTGAATCACGCTGGAGTTCTGATTGGTTGAATATACTTGTCATTTCTGTAAGATCCAATCAAATCCACTCAAAATTGGATTCGCCAACAGCGTCGATTCGTGATTCGATTCGGCGGCGAGATTCGATTCGACGTGGGTGGAAATTTGTACCGAACCACAATACTACGCTGTGAACTGAATTAACCTGTAAAACATGTCCAGGGGTAATACTCATTTCAGTCACACACTAAATAATAAAACTGATGATTTCCTGAAATTTGATTGGCTCGTCTGTATGAAATTTTCTTGTAAGTTTGGTCCGCCTGTAAGATTTTCTTATCAGGTTTTGGCCGTTTTGGCTGAAATTTCGAGGTTTTGTTCATCATCGTGGAAGCGGTTTCAGTTCAAAATCCTAGCCCCAAATAAAGACAACAATTCTAAGAGCATCTCCACATCGACCAGGTATTTTCAGGGGTTATTTCGGGGAAAAACTTCCGGATAAGTTTACCCATTGTTTTCGGACTTAATCTCCACCGCAAAACTGGTTATTATGTGTAGTAATAAGCTCAACAATACTATTAATAATAACGTAAAACACCAGCTTAAGCTAACCTTTTTGGAGGCATCGGAGTAGAATGGACATAACTTTGAGTCCGTAACGATATTTCACTTTCGAGTAGTGATGCCAATAGTCACGACGCACCGCTTTCATTACATCATCAATTATCAGTTTACACCATGTACTTCACAGGAGGCTGCGGGAAATGACGAACATACCTTGGCGACATAAGCGAGGTTAAACGTATGTCTAGACGACGGAGTCGAGTTTGGTGCAAGGCGACTTTGTATTCGATTGCGCTGTTCAAAACGTATACTACTCTGGTCCACAATAGCTGTCCTATTGTTTTGACCTGATTAAAGTATAATGGCCTGGCTCGAAACGTCTTGAAGTTTGTATTGGTCTCCGAAATGCAATATTGGTCGACGATATTTTTATTGTATTTTTATTCTAATGTCGACCCTACTTGTTCTTGAGAATTGACCAGGTCTTCCAA